AGAAGATCACGAAACGCTTGGGTGCTGTCGGTCCTACTCGCCTTCCAGGATGGGGACCACGTCATTTTCACTGTGCCTGGTTGGAGACACTACAAGATATGGCTGCCAGCCAATTTCAGTGTTCTTGTTGACAGTTTCTATCCAGATCGCCTGAGTGAATATCTGGAGGTGTAGGCACCTCGAAACGATTGTAGTAAGCTAGCACCAAGTCTCTTCCTTGTCCACCTTTACTCTCTTTTTCACAATGAGACCTTCGAATAAATCACGGTTGTAGACAGCGAATCATCAGTTTTGAATACCGATGTCAGCAATTCGATGACGGCGATGATGATAAGACTCATCAGACATTTCCACTTTCGGAGGAAGTTGCTTTACCAACATCCTCTTTGGATGAGATTACCGGAAAGTCCTGGGAATTTCATGCACACCTGTTGTTCCCCGAAAGCACCACCCACATGCCGGCTGCAACAGTTCAAGGTCATTGCGGCCATCCAACCTTAACACTATTTCGGTACCCAGCTGTCATGCCACCCGAAGGAAGCACGGGGGCTGAGATACTGTCAGGTCAGTCTAGCCTATGAAAATGCAGTTGAGAGCCGCGCTCGAATCACGAGGGTTCCGGCTAGTAATTTCGTTGCTTAACTACTGAGATATCTCGAGCTCATGGTAAAACTGGTTCTAAATTTGTCACTAATACATAGGTCTAAAGATGGTCAGTCCAACTCGGCGTCTGGTGATGCTCTCACTGAAACTTCATTGGATGTTCCTTGTGGAGGCCATGTTTTCCTAACTGGAGGAATATCGTCAGAGTTCGAGTACTTTTCAAACCAGAACATGAAGTTGGACTCGTCCAGTCGCGCGAGATCCTTGAAAGGACCATTGCGCAGGACATGAAGCTTCCATACATAGTATGGTGTACTGAAGGCCATTAGGATCACCCCTTTCTGGAAAAAACATCCTTGTTCCATTCACACGACACAATACATGGTAAAATCTAACTTTATCACTTTCAATGCGTATCCCGACTATTTGAAATGCTCCAAACTGCTACCGTGCTAGGCCACTGATCAAGTTAAGTCGTCCGAAAGAGAATGGTCCCTGCAATCGTGAGATAGTACAACTGACTTCCGATGGGCAAATTTAGACGGTCTACGCAGCGATGTGTCGTTTTTTCTTTAGAGTAAATCAGTGATTTCTGAAACTAGAACGTGTTTGGTTTCGTTACTGCAAAGAGTAATCCCTCTAAACAGATTCTCAAAGTGGAGATACCGTAGTGAAAAGTGCCCAGGTTACGTGCATACAAAACGTCCGATCTATGCGATGAGATAAACAAAAAACCAAATAACCTAAGGTTGTGGGTCTGATTCCGCTTAGACTGGAAATATTACCCATCATTTCATGCGTTGATATTTTACATAAACCGAGGAAATGGGTAACACAAAAACTGCGCATACCTGTCGCAGGAGGGTGTCGATCTCATAAGTTGTTAGCCACTGGTTTTTAAATGAACTCTTGCGCTGAATGAGCAGGGGTTGCTTCTCAAAGTATTTCCTATCAAGAGATAAAAGACAAAAACGAAGCTGAACATGTTGTTTAACTGGCGAAAATATTCACAGCCACGACTGTACACCCAATAAATTTGACCGAATCCGATCCGAAGTGAGTGACCAACCACATGGTAGTTCGGCTAAACATAAGCTAATGAATACAGGTGGGTAAAATTCGCGCCAAACGCGACGTCGGTGCTCAACGATTCAGCAGTGCTGGCGATCGTTCCGTTATCGGAGGGCTGGGAAGTAACACCCTTGAGACAGTGAAACGGATGCGTGTACACTCACAACAGTCAAGGACTAGATGGACAAACGAGTAAGATATGCTTCATTCATAGTAACATTAAAGAAACCGCATCAACTAACTGACTATTTGCTGTTTGTCTGAATCACGTGAAGCCAACATAAGAAACGGTGAAAATGAATCACGATCGACAAAACCGCATGCAAAACAGCCCTAAGCCTACTATTCGAATTCTGGCAGGTGTTTATGCAACTGAGTGTTCGTAGAAAGTAGCGTCATCCTTACGAAAACCCGCCAATTTGTGACTTAGTCAGACGATAAAAGAAACAGTAATCAGACGAAATGATAAATGGAATGGCACAAGGGGGATAGTTCACGACTTAAGAACCCCACCAGTAATCCTACAATTATTTGAAAATAGACCTACTTTTCTCTACACTTACTCCATTTTTATTAATTTAATTTCACATGAGGCACCCATCCTGGAGATGATCTTTCCGATACTATCGACAGGCTTATTTTCAAAGACACACGATTCCGGTTAGGTCCCGTTCGGATCTGAAATACCATCTCACACTTTGTGGCTAAACAGTACGCACAAGTTCGTGCAGCAGAATCATCCGGCTACTTTATGGACTAAAATCCAAAAAAATTAACAAAGGCAAATTTTATAGGATTGCCACACAATAAGTAGAAGATACAATTCATGAGTCAAAATACAGTCTGTTTTCGTCAGGCTGTGGCGCACTGGCTACCAAAAGAGAAGTAAACAACAGTACCCGGCCAGCAGCACAGGAGTAAGTTGTCGAAATTCTTGTCTACGGCTGGTGACTGAAAGCAAGTCGTATTTTGGAGAATTTTGCGGATGTCAATGTCCCATAAAAGCACGACTCTCGGATACAAACGAACTTTCATCCTATTAGTCAACGGGTACGGGAACCACAAACGACGTGCGTCCCAAGGAGGTTGAAACCAACTACTGGATGGGGGTTCAACAAGTCTCCATACATTCACTACTCACAAACCATAAGTAATCCGCTCAGAAAGGAGAAAACCCCATAGGTCTTCACCCAAAGGACTGATCTGCACCGGAACACCCGGGGTGAACTGGGGGACTAAAGGATTATTGGCGCTACATTCTCTCGTAGGTAGTGGCTAAAATAGAGCGCGGCTGATGTCACTGTGCAGCAAGTGATGTGGCGTGAGGGCACTTTTATTTATGTGTTTTAAGAAGGATAAGAGAACGATGAGGGTCCTCGTGCAAAGTTTTTGGTTCCGCAACCTGACCACGGGGTTGTGGTGGATGGTAGAATAGCCACAATTTCAAGCGAGCAACGGCGACGGTTAATTCAACGTCCGACCTGGAAAGCTAGGAGAGTATGTTTTTCAGACCTCCGGTCATTGACCAAACTTGCAGGATGCTCCAAGGATTCGCGGAGGCTGCATGGGCACCCCCTAGTAAATCACAATACGATATCTAGGTATACAAGTCATTGCATCACGGTAAGTTCTAGTCCGTTCATGACAGTATCTGAGATGCAGTGGCCGTGCAGTTGTCACTTCCACAAAAGTTGGTAAATTTCAACCATAATGAGAGATAGTTCCGCACGCACGCTCCGTCTCAATCCAAGAGACCTGCACAGAAAAAGGAGGCTACATTGAAGGAATCACCCGTCGGATCAATGGTGACGAACAGCGACAAAAACCGCCAAACCGATACCAAACAAAACAAAGCAAATCCCACACAAAAAATACCACCTAGACCACTCAAGACAAAAAGATATCTGCTTACGCAAAAAAATCGCTGATTGAAATAGGCGTTAAGAGTGCCTCCAACTCCTTGCGTCCTAAAGCCACTGGGTCAACCGGAATAAATTGGTTCTCCATTTTGGCATCAATAGACTCGGAGGTATCTAAGGACTTGCATTTCTGGTGCAGAGGTTCCAAAGTCCGTTTTACCGGATCGATCTGAGGGTCAGGAGAAGTACGGAGTCTCTTCTTGGAATGGGCCAAAGGCTCCTCTGAGGGGGAAACGGGAAGAGGAAGCTGTCGTTTCAGACCAGTAGCGGGAGGCTGTATGGGTACATTTGAATCACTCGTTGTCTGTCGCGTCGTTAGTTCGGGGCCTTGCTTCTTCAACTTTTTGCGTAATCGTTTGCGTTGATTCTTACTCAGCTGGTCCGTTTCACGGGAGGCATCCGGCGTCTGGACGAGTTTTTTATCAGAGAGGGTATAAGTTGTCGATGAAGCGGCGCTGATCTGTTGATGAGGATCAATAGTGTCAGGCTTTGTCGGTTTCTTTTTCTTCTTCTTCTTAGCCTTCTTACTACTCGGGGCTGTTTGATGCTTATCATTCAGTTGTGGATGTAATATGCTCTCGACTGCCTCATTTGTGTGTTTTTGTGCCGTTTTGTTCAGCGTCTCGGTAACTTTGTTCAGTAAAGCAGTAGCCCGGGGATTGTTCGCTAGTTTGCCCTGCAACACAAGGAAAAGGAAAAAGAAAAAAGATGAGGATTTACGACAGAAACAGTATTGCAATATTCACCGTATCTGTCGATACACTACTAGAAAACCAGGCGTGATTGCAAGCCGAAGGAAACCGTGCACACTTCAGCTGCAACATTTGAATCAATCAACGTTAGGGTTTCTGTGTGGTTTCTCCATGCGACTACTGCTGGAACTGCATATCAATAGGCGTATTGAATGAGATACATATTGAATAGCGCTTATCGTCCAGACCCATCACTCCATATCCAGTTCCTATCAACCTGAACAGATGTGTGATCCGAGTACGTAACAGTCTGAATTCGTGAGATGGGCACCGCTGATGAACTCCAACAAAGAGGAAACAAATGTGCAGCGCTTGTTGGCTCTTAAGTACAAACTGGCTCCACTTACAGGACAAAATCTCCACTGAGAATTCCTAGGTCGACGGATTTTCAGCAACCTTATGAGTAGTAAACTACAAAAATTCCTAGGTCTCCTTACACTACCAACAAACAATAGGTAACTCAGAAGGAAGGATAAACTTTCCATCTGAGAAGTCGTCACTTGAAAGAGCTGGTCAACATGTGATTGCAGGATGAGCGACGCTAAGTGCGAGCCAACCGAAATACTGATCAGCCGCTCGTAGCCGAACGGTTAAGCAATAAAACTACTACTTGGAAGATTGCGGTTTCGAAACACCAGAGAGCTTCGTAAGATGCGCACTGCTGATGCTTCATGTGAACAGAAATGGATGTGCAATGCTTCTCACCATAGACTGACTTTGTTACGGGATGAATTCTCAACGGCAAATCTGAATTCTGTTTGAGCTAGACCTCCTAAGGTGTGCAGATGCGCATTCTCATAAAAGCGACTGTCTCTGCTAAAGTTCAGTCGGGCTGTCGAATATTTCGGTAAGCAAACTTGTCGCATTGACATCGTAATGTTTACACAGCATCGCTATGCAAAAGTGCCGCTGTCGACCGAGAACCATTATCTTCATGGGCAAATCAGTGTTGATATCTCGCTTCCTTTAGCAAACAGCGGTCTTGTGATTTCGGATATTAACTGTTCTGGATTAACGAAGGCCGGGGACGTTTGACTGTAATACTTTGCTGCGGTAACATTGGCGAAAAGCTACCACGACTGGCCATGAATAGTAACCACTGATGCAGTCACAAGTTGACAGAAAATAATGACATTACGTCCATTTATTGGTCGCAACTACAGCCGAATTTCTGTTTGTCAGTGTGTGATTTTACTTGTTTTGGTCCGAATCTCTGACTAAGCAGTTCGAGTTTCTCATAAAGGAGTAGCGCTTTATTACAAGAAAATCACATATCCTTCTACAGACGTAAGAATTGAGTTTGATAATACACAGTCTTCTGGTGGCACCTTACACCACATACGGCAAACTATAGAGCAAGATGGCGTTAATCAATATGGCTAACTATGAAGCAACATAAAAAAACATCGAAACCATTTTCACTCCGGATTTGTGTGAGACTTCGGGACACGAGCAACCTTAGCTTACGACAGATGCAAGGAGACCGCCCTTTCACCTTTCATTGCTGGGTTTGAAATCAGAATAAGGATAAGCAACCGCCTACATTCATTCTTATCCTTACACACACGCGACGACACTAGTGAACACGTCCAGACCTCCGACACATAGAAATCCAACGTAAGCATCTAAGTCATCGTCATCTTCACCACGTAGCCACAGCATACCCAACACCGAAGCACCACTAATTTACAAGATCGTGAGTGCGAATTAGTCTCATATACATCGTGATTAGCTTTCCATGGTGGTTAGTTACGGTCGAAAGGCATCCATTAGACGAGAAAAACAGAACCACAAACTACCTGCTTTTGCATTTTCTGTAAGCCATAAAATTCCCGAGCCGTGAGCATCTTCAGATGGGTAGGTCAATGTCAGCGTCTGGAGTGAACGAGCAGTTCTCGAGAGCTAAACTGAGGAGCCACACAAGCGTCTGAAAGCAAAGAAGTTTTGTTTGCGATGAGTTTAGTGAATGTAAGGACAAAGTGATAGGCCAAGAGCGTTCAGCTGTAGCACGCTCCCGGTGCCTAGCTGCCATGCCACCCGAGGGAAGCACGAGGGCTGGGATACTGCCAGGTTGCCCAAGCCTAGACAAGAGAAGTCGAGTGGCGGAGGTCGGATTCGAACCACGGACCTTCCGGGCCAAGAAGAGTATCATTCACTTCTAGTCTCATAAGGCCTATAGAAGTGATAACGGATCAGTTTTCAGAGCACAAACGTATTAAGCGACACCAGAGAGTTGTTTTGGGTCAGTGGGTATCCCAGCAATTTTTGACAAGCAACAAAAGGGTCAGTAGTAAACGGATGTGGCAGAACACTTTATGGTGCACGGCGGTATGCCAAAAAAGTGGCTTCCACATAAGAGAGACAAAGGTTGACGCTGTCGGTCAGCAAGTCCTCTGTCATAGAAAAGCCTTTAAAGACTTGTTTAGTTACTTCATTTTATTATGTCGGATGTCGGATGTCAGTTTAAATGATACGACAGGTCGCAGAGGGCCAAGAATGGTGCTCCGAAGCGAGGTCTGGACACATGGAGGTCCAGTTCCAATTCCAACATCAACCCACCACAGGCCCAACTATTCCGCATCCGTATTCACAGTACTTAACCAAAGCAGCTACTGTAACTGAGCCGGGAAACTAAGTCCATCCACCTATGGACAAGCTTTTTTAGTCTAATCCTCGTTCAATTGTGATTGACCTGGGCGACTTTTCTAGGAATTTATATGGGTATGCGAAACAGAGCAGGTAGTCCGTTGGGGCCACATTCTGAGGTATGGTAGAGCCAAGAGGACCAAATCACTACAGTTCCAAGTCCCTGCTATCATGTAGGACGCGATTGTTCCGCAAAGCTTATGCGTTGCTGTTTCCAAATACAGGAAGCTATTCGTGAACAGCGACGGGTAAGGGTTGAATCAAAGTCCTTGTTATATATTATGGTGCTTATATCTACATCCTTTACGACAGCGTACGCCCAAAACCTACCGAGTGTTCGTCTGGTTC